GACAGATCTTAGCGAAAGGAGAACCAGGGCGACTTCCCTGATATTGGTACAAAGGGTTACATTCTCCTCTGCGAATTGAAAGTTTTTATTGCTCTTTTTGTTGTTTTTATTGGCTTGACGAATCTTTTATATTTATTAGAGATTTATATGCGCTCGGTGCTTAAGAGCCCGACAAAAAGGACTGTGCCCTGGTCGTCGGAAGAAAAATGAGACAAAGAAGAAAAATAGGAAGAGTCTTACGTCTTACTCAGGTTTGTTCGTGAGGTGGACGATGTAGGTCGAATTGTTATGAAAAAAAAAAAAAAAAAAAAAAAAAAAAAAAAAAAAATCTCGGTTATGAGGACCATTTCGGTCTACAACGAATATGAGCATGAGCGGAACTCGGCATTTTTTGGTAGGGGGAAGGAGTCGAGGAACACTTCACAAGGGGGGCCTATGAGGGCATAGAGGAAAAAAACCCCCCCCGCCTCCGCCCGGGACGACTGGGGAACTCCGTCAACTAAAAAGGAGGGATCCAAACGGCCTGCCTGGGAAAATTTAAAAAGACTTGAGTCGTCTTAAATTTGTCTGCATTTTGAGGTATGCTTATCGAAAAATTGATTGAAATACAATTTTAGATGAGAGTTATTATTTTATTGGTTCATTCGCCTCCTACATAGGGGTGTTACTTTATTGGCAAAATAAAGATGAAAGATTTGTTAAATTAGCGAAATTCCGTACAAGTACTGAAAGAAACCAAGAGAAGAGCCCAAACTCCCTTGGTGTACCTAGCTCCACCCATGAACCCAAGAGTTTTTGGTTCAGAAAATCGAACTTCAATATACGGATGACCTGATGACCAAAAAAAGGTGAGGAGGGAATATGATGCAGAATGAGAGTTCTTTTTGAGTCTTAAGGTAAAAAGTAAACTTCAAGGTCGCGTTCAGCTCCGAGAATTTTTGGCTGACATTAAATTTTTGGCAGAAGAAAAAAAGCTTCAAAACGAGCTCAAAGCTATCCTAAATTATTTTTTTCTTTAAAAAAAATGTCACTTGATTCCTGCTTGCTATTATCACTGACCAAATATAGTCAGTCGCGAAACCATTCATCCGTGCCTAACCGAACATGAATTTCGATTTTCAAGGGGTAAACAAGGGAGTGGGGCACGGTCAAAAATGTACCGAAGTAAGGGGGGAGCTAAAGGTCAAAAATTCCTGAAAGCGACGAAAATGACCTTTCCTTCGGGAAAGCTGGGGGGCATCATCGGGTTCTCTGCTACTCTGCTGACGAAAGTCATTACTTATTCAAAGCGTCTTTTTTCAATACACGGCCCCATTCTGCGAACGGCGAAATTGGCTTAGTAATTAATTAAAGTATCAAGTGTTCAAGTCGATGATCGGTCGGTTTCCTTTGAGATCCTCGGGAGGGAATCAATTAAATTTATAAAAAAGGGATTAAATCCACATTAATCCACATTGACTCGGATGGAAAAGTCACCGGCGGTGAACCCCCTTCGGAGAAAACCGTGCTCCTTTACTGCCGCGTCAAGGAGAAACGTCGTATGAGCTATCAAACGCTGCCAAATTTCCTTGCATAAAATTCGAATTGTCAGGGAAATTTGTAAATATACCTTCTCTCTAACTTTGTGGGGAATTTTTATCGCAACTAGAGTACTTTTATAAGAAGAGTATGGACAACTCGATTTGTGTAGCTCTTAGGGCCCAAAAGGGCGACAACAAGAAAAACAAAAATCACTAGAAAAGTGCCGCTGCCAACCTATGCATTTGAAAGATTCATCAATAGGGCAAACAGCACATTGTAAACATGCGCTTTAAAGGATTAAAGACTTTGAAACTGAGAAAATGTATGCGAAATCAAAGTTTTATACGTGCTTTTATAATTTTTGATCAGTGTACCTACTCTCGGAGTTTAAATTAGTCACTGGATAATTCGAGTTCGTGGGTTGGCTGCCTTTTTACATGACCTGATCAAACCTAACCTCGAAATTATTTTATTTTTTATTTTTACAGGTTCAATGGCTTTTATACCCTTTCTTTGGGGTAGACAATTTTTCATTGTCAGTTAGACATCATGGGACTTTTTGGCACATCCATGCTCCGGCTTTCAAATTTTCAGGGATTAAGGTCGAGTAGAATCTGTATCTGCAGATCCACTTGTCAACCTCCAAATTTTTGAGTTGTCCATACTCTCCCTATAAAGGCACTCTAATCGCAACTAGATCTAAATTATCTAAAATTTCCAAGAGAAAAGATTCTCAATTCTCCTAAAAAACGAACATTTCATCGGAGGAAATTCGGCAACTCTCGAATGTACATACGGCGTTTTCCCTTAGCACGGCTGAATGCAGTCCGCGTGAAAATCCGGTTTCCCCATAAGGAATTGAGATGAAAACGGCATGGCGGAGGGAAACCTCCGGAGTTTCCCGGAACATCTCCACTTGGTGGCGCGTCGAACTCTCCACTTAGCCTAAAGGTCAGCTAAGGTTCATTACGTATTCTCTCTTGCAAATTTTCCTGGATTCCGACCTCTCCTGAGGTAACCTTTGTGCTTCCCTCACGGTCGACGGAAAAAGTTCGCGGTTACGGCCCAGGATCCAACTCGCCAAGTCAAAAGACCTCAACCGAACTTCCAGATGAGCTTCGTCTTCCGTTCGAATCCGTCCTTTTCGGAGCTTATGGCGGAATACAGTTACGTCTTTTCTTCTTAGCCGCGAAGAGTCCGGCGGCGCCTGGCGCGATCGCGCTTCGTCGAGGTCGGGTGAGGTGGAGACAAATATTTGCCGATGAGGCACGTGGATGGTTCCTCATCGCCAGAATCCACACGAAAAAGCGTAACTACTTTTCAACGTTGCGAAATTTCCACTAGGAAATCAAATTTTTACTGGGAAACAGTTGGGCGGTTCTACAGGGTGTCTACTAAAGCAGGCTGGTCAAAAATAAGTACTTTTACAGTGTTTTTCAGCACATTCTCAAGAGATTCAGTACCTCCGCCAACAGAAAAATTCCGTACTGTTTCAGTACCTCCATTTGATGGAATTAGAAAAATTTCAAAAATTTGGAATTGCGACAAAAATTACCAAAAATTAAAAAAAAATTCCGGACCTTCTTACGGAAATTCCTTACTTCCGGACCGCCCTTAAAAAATCAGTACTATTTCCGGACTTGTAGATACCCTGTTCTAGCAGGAGATTCCCTTGATTTTTCCTCTGACCATTTACGGAAATCAGTTGAGTTTTGGACTGGAATTACACGGTAAAATTCCTGTGAAAAATTTAATGGTTTGGATTGCTTTTGCAATCTTGGAGTTGGATTACGTTTCTTCGTTGGGGAAACTACGAATCATTGTACTCCCGGATCGGAACCAAAGGCAAATCCTACTCGCACCGCCGCACATTGGATCGATTCAATTAGAGAGGTAGGACATGAAATTTTCGACTGAAACTGCACATTTTGGTGTCTATTTCGTCACATAATACATTTCAAGGGACGCTTCCAGAAGTAAATTTTACGAGGAAACCAATGGATCCACTTTAAGAACCTCAAATTGTTGTATTCACGGAGTTATAAACGTTTAAAGTTTCCAAATTTTGTTCGACTTCTCCTGTAGACTTGGTCCACTGTGCGGAGTGCGGGTGGAGTCTTTCTCTTGACGGATGGCGAGAAATACAGGTCTTCTCTACAGCCGGTCTAACCACACCATCACGGCGATGAGTCATTTTTTCCATCTTCTTCACGCGATTTTGCTAGTTCCGCGTAGAGTACTCTCTGTATGAATGTATGGTGCCTTTTTAGGAGAGTGTGGACGTTAGGTTCCATTGAGGCCCTCAGGATTATTTTTAAATATAAAAAAAAAAAAAAAAAAAAAAAAAAAAAAAAAAAGTTGGAGACTCTGGCTGAACTCTGGGTATGGTCCAAAAACTAGTATTATAAATCTTTATTTGTAAAACTTTTAAAACTTTCACCTATTTAAATTTTACTTAATTTTTTTTCTTTGCTTTGGCAAACAATATAATTTTTTTAGACTAAAACAACCTGAAGTCTAACTACAACTGCTGGCGCTTAATTATCTGGTAAGATTAGTTCTTATTATTGAAGTTTTTAGTGGTTCTTGTCTATTCGCGGTGGTTCTTAGTCTGACCCATTTACTCCCTAAAAGTCATTCAAAACCCGAAGGAAATAAAATTATTCGTTCCTTTGATTCATTAATTTACCATACTTGTAGAAAGGACTTTTTTCCGGATTAAAAAAATTATAATTATAAAAATTTGATGAGTGAAATCAGGAGATGCGTAAGGTTTTATTACTTTAGAGGAGGGACTTAAATGATAAATAAGAGACTACACCTATACGGGCAAAATTAATTTGTTGGTTTTGAAGTCAGTTTGCTAAATCCACCCCCTGTATCTAACATTTCGAGGATGAACTCTTATAGCGATCACTTCCAGCGAGACTATTCCAGGTTGAGGATTCTACACTTTAACAGATATTTCTCCCGATTTTTTTCCTCTTATTCGACGAGCACGCATTAGTGAGGATCCAGATTTTCCGTTTATTTATGATAAACAATTTGAAATTTTCATGATGCGTTAACGGTCCCTGCACTTTTTACGAGGTTAAACTCTGCAAAAGATTTTATTCTTCGCTATAAAAAAGAACGGAAAAAACGTCCAAAGCAAGGAAACAGATAAATTATTCTCATTGTGCGGAAAGTTCTCCGATTCAATTAAAAGTGATAAATATGTATGATATGACGGTTCACGATAAACGTGAAATATAAGTGGAAGTCTAAGTTGTTAGTAACACTACGAAAATCAGATTTCTATCACAGGGAAATTTCCTGGAAAGCTAAAAAACGGTTAGGTCTTTTGCAAAATTAGCAAAAATCACCACTGATGTTCGAAAATACTCAATTTTGGATTTTCCGCCACCAAGATCCGAGTTCCTTTAACTTTCCACTGTTTAAAAACTAAATTTTTTCCAAAAGACTGGGCATAGACTTACCGGCATAAGAAGATTTTGAGGCGTACTGAAGTTTAAATGTGAAAGGGATGTGAACTTTCATCATTTTCATCTGTGGTATCCTCTGTTGCACGGTGTGTACTGATGTTCCGAACATGAGCTCTTCACCGTGAAGCCAAAACAACGTCATGTTCCTGGAACAAAAAACCATCAGAACAAATTAAGCTTCAGTGCAATTCGTGACTTCATGAAGTTCGAAAAAGATTGCAACATGCAAGAATACTGCCGTGCTAAGGAAAAACGCCGTATGAACCTTTAAACGTTGCTAATTGTTTTTTTTTTTTTTTTTTTTTTTTTTTTTTTTTTTTTTTTTTTTTTTTTTTTGGTGTGTGTGTGTGGTTTTGTTTGTTGATAAAACACCATTTTCTTGATAAACTAATGAATATTTTTCTTCTAGTTTTTCGGATAATTTTGTTCGCAATTTCACCTAAAGTTCCTGAGAATTTCAAGGAAAAATATTCGCATCTTTCCTAAAAAAAAAAAATGAATGTTTTAACGGAGGAAATTTGGTAATTCTAGAATGTTCATACGGCGTTTTTCCTTGGCACGGCAAAATACGCGCGACCTGTCGCGGAAGTTGTTTCTCTTCAAAAGATTGGAACATCAAACTGGCATCAAGGCCGCTTGGATGTTCAAAAAACAATTCGACACATAGAAACAATGAAGATGTGCGTGAGGTGGGAAAAAATGCTACGAGGAAAACTTAGGATGTTGGATGCATTTTCGAATGTTGGAGTGTTCATGGAGTATCCTCGCGGACGGATGCACATAAATGCATACTCATTCCCGGCGGTATGAGAATTATTGTGACTGACGATTTCATTACTGTTGATGTCAGTGGCGTGGCGTCCTTTGCGATGTATCGATCGTTATGCCATTTAAACCTATGAAAAAGGATCGATAAATAGGGTGTTCGCAGCGAACACCCTAATAATCGATTCTTTACCATAAGTTTAAATGGCATAACAATCGATACATCGCGATTCACGCCACGCCACTGGTTGATGCAACGCTCACGAGAGCGTATTCGGCGCTTGCTGGCTAGGAAAAGTGATGATAAATCTAATTTACATGACGTATTTTTCCTCTCTTGAAATTGGTTCGTGTGAGAGTTAAGTTCCAGTTTTTCGTCGCGTACAGTTTTCCGCAGCTCGTTGTTTCCCGGACGAGGGAACGTAACTCCAATCCAAGGTTGCAAAATTGACTCAAACAATACGATTTTTTATAAGAATGCATATCCGTGCAATCATTCTTCAAAATTTGCGAGATTTTTGCATGAAATCAGATGAAATATCAGCGAAATTTTCATTTAGGTATACCGGAGATTCCACAATTAAAATTGAAATTTGTGAGGGGAGATTTGGCAGCATTGAAATGTAGTTACGTTCCTTCGTGGGGGGGGGGGGAGGGGGGCGAATTGACTGCATAATAGATAAGCTTTCCGTGTAGCTAATATTTAGGTACCCATGCATGTAACATGACACTATTATTTGTAAGAGACAATTATAAAGTAGAGGCACTTGTAGTGAACAAAATCCTATTGAGGAGGAAAATGAAAAAAGACAAAAATACCAAGGAAGAGTCAAGATGAGCGTTTTATAGATTTGAGAAACAGATCTCACTCTTGTTCAAGGCTTTCTATGCTAACTTCATGACAAACTCAACTCTAATTGTAAGATAAGAGTCGCTCTAAGAACTGAACAATTTGGGAAAGAGTTTTAAAGGATTCCGTCCCAAAACTACGTTTTCCGAACTCCGAACTTCGAACTGCCAATACTCCAGTTGAGTCTGCAAGTTCCGAGCGTTTTTGTCCCGAACCATTTGGAAAGCACTCTGGGTGCTCTGGTATCAATGAATCTGTATCGCAGGCAGTCAGCAATCGTCGGCAAATTGCAAACGGCATGCGTGTTAACTCGTCAAATTGCAATTATTTGCATCGGCGTAGCAACAGTTTCATTGGTAAAGAATTTCAAAAGCGCGGCCACGGTTTGCAGCGCCTTCAAATCCCGGTGATGCTCTCCGCTTTGCCAGGCAGTTAGTTTAGATGCCCACCTGCACCAAACCCAACTAAGGCCACTGTTCTCTCTACACGCACTGGCGAGTGTGTTAGCTGATACCTTGTATTCAAGAAAAGAAACTTCTGTTGTTGATTGTGATTTTTCTTGAGATGCTCTCGACTAGTGAAATCTTATTTTTTGGTCCGCCCGAATTTTACCGTGATGGGGAAGGGCGGAGTAAACCCCCAAAACCCCCTAAAATTGCTCAAAATTAAGACATTCAGACATTTTACAAGCTATCAGATTAGCTATGGGCATAGTCTTGCTGTAAAAAGGGAAACACTTGCAAAAAAAAAAAAAAAAAAAAAAAAAAAAAAA